TTTAGGGCAGTTCCTAAATTTTATAGAATGCTATTTTGTTAAATGGGTGCTAGAAATAGAATCCAGGGCTTGTGCCTGGTGACTATGCATTCTACCACTGAACTACACTCCCCAATGTCATTTTGTGTTTTTGTTGTTGTACTGGTGTTTGAACCCAGGGCCTGTGAATGCTAGGCAAGTGCTCTACCACTGAGATATACCCTCAACCCTAGAATGTTGTTCTTGAGTTGATGCCTTAGCTACACCTGAGTCAATGTTGCATTAGCTACTGTGGAAGTCAAATGGAAGAAACTGGAGTTCACTGATGATCATTAAGCTAGAAAAGACATGATTTAACTGGGACATTATATTTAATTGTACATCAAAGGCTTTTTTGCATATCTGGGAGTTGTGGCTATTTTACTCAATAGAAAAAAGTTCTGAGATCAGCAAATAACTGTTGAAAAATAATTTAAAAATTGAAACAGCATAAGCATTTTGAGTCATGCACAATCTTTCAAGGAAACATATAGAATTTATTCTTTATTTCCTGAGTAAATTGGACAGTAAAACTTTTTAAAAATATTATGTTTACTGATTAGTATTCTTTTAAATTGATATAACTGCTATTTTTACTTGTATATGATCAGGGATATTCTCTAATCACCAGTAAGTGTGTATTTGTTCATAATGCCTGTAGTTATATGCTGAGTTATAAAAACTTTACAAAATAGCTACAAATTCCTCAATTATAAAGATATTATAAATGCCAGTTGTAAAGACAGCTTGCCCATAGATAGGGATTAGGCCACCTAGCCTTGCCTGAATAAAGAAACAAAACTCTGTTTCCCTTTAAATAGAGTTTAATCATAAATTACATCCTGTATTAAATCCCATCTGTTTGTGACTTTCTAATTCTCTTAGGATTACAGGGTAATTTTATGTGATGTTTTAACACTTGGGGAAAACTCTGTTGTATTGCTTCTCTAACATGTATTCTAATTGTATGCGTCCTCTTTCTCTAGAGTGAAAAAACTTTCATTCATTCTTGATTCATCTCCTGCTAAGATGTTCCAGTAAACACCTTTGACCCCTTATCTTTCTTGTTTGAAATGAGGACTTGTCTCTTTCCTTCCTCCTGTAAAGACTATTATCATAGCAGGTAATTTAGCAGATTTTTATTGATATTTTACTCTCAACTATTCTGTGAGCTTATATCTGACAGGAGGAATATCTATAATTTTCTAATTGTTAGAACCTAACACAGGGCCTAAGAAATGTAGACTCATTCACTTGGCCATTTAATGAATATTTGTTTTATTCATATTATATTATTTTCACCGTATATACGTATTTCATATAGCTTGAAATACAAAGATGTTATTAATATAATAATATCTATATTAATATGATAATATTAATATAGATATTCACTTTCTTTTAAAACAACATATTCTAGAAGTCAGTAAACAAATATGGAAATCAAACTTACTATAAGAGTTTTATGATAATGTTGCAACCAGGAAGAGGAATGATGAGTTCCTTCTGATGTGTTATTTGAGCTAATAACAATATTCACATATGGAAAATGAAAAAAAAAAAGTGTTGAACAAAGGGAGCATGAATGAATAAATGAATCCTTCAATCATTTCACCAATAAGATGACATTCAATTGGAAATTCTACACCATATACCAAATAGCTACTCCACTATGACTCTTGGAGTATCTAAGCTTTCAGGTAAATAAGACTTGCATGTCCATTGTATGGACTGTGGTGATATTGGATATCTTTAGAATTGGATACTCAGAGAAAAATATGTTCGCTAACATTATTTTACACACTGAATTTTGGCTAAACTATTGCCTGAAAAGCCATTTAATTTCTTTTTTAAAGTTTTCTTAGTTGTATATGAACAGATATCTATATTTTATGTATGTGTTATTATGTAGTGTTGATTGAACCCAGCACCTCACATGTGCTAAACTATTGCTCTGCCACTGAGCTACAGCCTCAGATCCTTATTTCATATCTATTAGGAAGAGTTGCCAAAACAAATAAGATATTTAGGGACTACTAATGGTTAATATCTTAAATGGATGAATTAGAGGTAAGTTTTTACAATCTCATACCAATGACTTGATTAACATTGGTGATAGAAACCAACATTTTACTCTCAATTTCTGTGAGAGAAACTATATTTCTGTGATATGTGTATATATCAATTTCTGTGAGAGAAACTATATTTCTGTGATATGTGTATATATATATACACATATCACAACTGAATCAATTAAAAATGTATTAATCCAAAAAACTGCTGATGAAAGGTAAAGACAGGAAAGACATTGAGAAATGAATCCAGAATTAGCTATGAATTTCCTCAATAGAATTTCAAGAAACCCATTCTTGGAGAATTAATGGAGAATGTCAGACAGACACCTGAGTTTTCTCTTTGTTACACTTTTATTCATTATTATTCTATTTAATTTCAGTTTTCTTGAATCAACTTGCAATTTTTTTGTCCCTGGAAGAACTTTATGACACTGTCTCGGATCTGTTTTGTCTTTACCCCATAAACAATGGGGTTCAGTGTCGGAGGAAGAAGGAGATAAAGATTAGCCACAATGATATGGAGAGAAGGAGGAATGGTGTGGCCCCCAAAACGATGGGTAAAGAACGTGAAGAATGCTGGCACATAGGTGATGATGATGGCAGATATATGTGCAGTGCATGTGCTGAAGGCTTTTTGCCGAGCATCCGATGATGAGAGGCTGACCACTGCCTGGAGGATCATAGTGTAAGACACAGATATGCAACAAATGTCAAACACTCCAATCAGAAGTGCAACCATCAGACCATAGATGACATTGACCTTGATGCTGGCACAGGATAGCTTTACCACAGACATGTGGTCACAGTATGTGTGGGAAATGATATTGTCCTGGCAGAAAGGCAAACGCTTGACCAAGAATGGAAATGGAATCATCAACAGCATACCTCTCAGGAAGGTGGCAAGCCCAGCTTTTGCAATGATAGGGTTAGTGAGTATGGTGGCATAACGCAATGGGTAGCAAATGGCCACATAGCGGTCCAGAGCCATGAGCATGAGCACTCCAGATTCCACACCTGTGAACCCGTGGACAAAGAACATCTGGACTAAGCAAGCTTTGAAGTTAATTTTCTTGAGATCAAACCAGAAGATGCAGAGTGCATTGGGTACAGTGGTGGTGCAGGTGAGGAGGTCAATGAGGGAAAGCATGGCCAGAAAGCAATACATGGGGCGGTGTAAGGCCTCCTCATGATAAATGAGGTACACAAGACCAAGGTTACCCACAAGGGACATAATGTACATTGTGAATAGTGGAAGAGAGATCCATACATGGAATCTTTCCAGACCAGGAATACCATTAAGAATAAAAGATTGAGGGGCCACATATGAATTATTGGAATTGAACATAACTAATTCAGGAGAGGAACTTGATTTTTGCAGAAGTCTCTGTCCTGAGGAAAAGGAATTAAGAAATAGAAATTTGATTTATATCTTTTAAAATGCAAACTCAAAGCTGTAAGAAAGTTATATTAATAAATATTGCCAAACATTTTGAATAATGATAACTTTGAAATTACTTAATTTATTGAATAGTATTAAAATCCTGGTATTATTCAACAAGATTTATAAACAGTCTGATAGTAATGTCAAACCATACATAGAGAATTGCAATTGCTTTTACAAAATAGAAGTAGAAACTGGGTAACAAATATAGGATAATGTTGACTGTCACACATTTAGATTCAGGAGCAGAAATAGTATTTATATGTGATTCCAACACTTGACAGAACATGTGTCCTATGATAGCAAGGGTA